TAGTTTCCCTTTTAGGCATGCACCTTCCTTTTTTGGTCATTTTCCCATGATACAATAATTGTACCCCTTTCTTTTAGCTTTCTAAATGTGTTGAAATCATGTTGTTTGGTTTTGTTTTCAAGGAGAAAAACGCAAAAAAAAAGAAAAAAAAACACAGTGCTTTTCAAAATCTTTTACATCATATGTCCACAACAGGAGCACTTCAGAACATAATTCAAACAGATTCAGGAAGCTACAGCATAGGACTACAACTTTTGTTTTTGACCATTTTTGGTAATTGATCATGTGACCACCATCCCAACACCCCATTAGATGGACCCTGAGAGGTAGAATCATTCTTGTCTTGTTTTTCTTCACTTTTTGGTCAAATAAGGTGAGCTTTTCTTTTGGGGTGGACCCTGAAAGTAGTGGCTTACGTTCCTTACACCATTTACATTTTTTCTGGCTTTTTTCTGATATTCTAGTTATTTTTTCATCAGAAACAAAGAAGTTTCTTTATTTGGATGCTGCCCTGAACCCTGAACAAAGTACCTAAACATCATCATCAACAGTGGGAACCATTTGTATTTTTTTTCTGATTTTTTTGTGATTATCTGGCTATCATTGGATAGATTACCATATTTGGAAATAGACCCTGAACCCTGAAAACAACCCAACATCATCACCACCATCCCCCAATTTTTCCTGATTTTTCGAGTATTTTTAGATAGATTACCATATTTGGCTAGACCATAGACCCTGAAAACAACCCAACATCATCATTACCATCCTCCACTTTTTCCTGATTTTTCTGGTATTTTCTGGCATTTTTGGATTGATTACCATATTTGGACATAGTCCCTGGACCCTGAAAACAACCTAATATCATCACCCCATCCCCTAATTTTTCCTGATTTTTCGGGGTATTTTCTGGCCATGTTTGGATAAATTACCATATTTGGACATCCCCTGGACCCTGAAAACAACCTACCATCATAACCACCATCCCCCATTTTTTTTTCTTATTTTTCTGCTATTTTATTGCTATTTTTCCTTTAGATAAGCACACATTTCCATATTTGGCAATGCACCCTGGACCCTGAAAACAACCACATTTGGAAAGTGTGCTTTTGGACCCTGAAAACAGTGAGCAAGCCATGGGAATCAGTGAGCACCAAGGCTGGCTCTAGGGAGCTCAGCAAGGCTACCTTCCTAATTAGGAAGGTTGGTCAATTGAATGCTGTGATGCATAGGTAGACTTAGTCAATAGACTATATCTGGTACATAATTCTGGATGTACTGGCTGGAGGAAGGCTACCAGGATGAACTCAAGTCCCTATGAGACATGGGCATCTACAAACTGGTTCCTTGATGTGACGTCCCTCAAGGCTCAAAAATTCGAAAAGGAAAACCTGTTTTCCATAACAAAAGGGACGAACTCAGCAAAGCTGTAAGGTGGAAGGTGCGCGTTGTATTCTTAGGTTTTGAACAAATTTTTGGGAAGGACTAGATGAAAACAACCTCATAGGGACTATACAGCATGAAGCAAAGTGGGAGAATATGGAATCAAACCATGAACAAGCAGATGCTTTCTTCGGGATTTACTTGTCTCTCATGTGAGTCCTGCATTTATTACAGGACTGCTGATAGTGGAACAATTGTCACCGCCGTACATGTGGATGACTTGACCAACAAAGACGAAAATGAACTCTTCAAGAACCAGATGCATAACATCTGGACAATATCTGACCTCAGTGCAGTCCACTTTGTCATTGGAATCACCATCACATGGGATCGACCCAACCGCACTGTTAAATTATCACAAACTGCACTCATCAACAAAATAGTTGTGCAATTTGGTCAGAAGAACACTTCCCCAACCATGATCCCTATGGACCTGGGACTGAAACTTCAACGTGCCAACTATAAAAAGCTCACACAAAATGAACTGAAAGACATTCAGAAACTACCATATGGGTCATTGGTCAGTTGCCTGCTCTACTTATCCATAGGCACACACCCCGACATCACCTACTCAGTTCAGCAACCATCCCAATATCTGGATTGCTACACATACGCACACTGGAACGCAGCACTGCATGTTGTATGTTACCTCTCTGGGACTTGTGACTACAAACTCTCTTTAGGCAGCAACAACCCCATATTGTTAGTTGGTTTTACCGATTCCAATTGGGCAAACTGTCTCAACACAAGACGAAGCATTGGAGGACACACTTATACCCTCAAATCCAGTGTTATCTCTTGGCAAGCTCACAAACAAAAAACTGTAGCAGCCTCATCATGTGAAGCGGAGTACAGCACCGCATTTGAAGCATCCAAGGAAGTGATCTGGCTTCGGACACTTTTAGGCACTATCGGATGCCAACCTGAAAAACCAACTATGATCCTATGTGACAACAACGCAGCAATAAACCTCTCTGAAGATCCAATGCTACATGACTGTGTCAAACACATCAATATCAAATACCATTTCCTACACAAGCGTGTCCAATCCCAAGAAATCATCCTAAATTACATCAATACCCATGACAATATGGCCGATATATTCACTAAAGCCCTCAACACCAAGAAATTCACTTGATTCCATGAATTCTTGGGCATCAAACAGCACTAGACTCCATGCAAGGAGGAGTGTTCAGGGTGAGGAGCAGTGTTGTGATTATTATGACACTGTGAACACGTTTGTTCTCGGACCTTTATTTATTTATTTCTCTCTCTCTTTCTTTATCTCTCTTTATGCTTAGCTCACCCTTTATTCCATCTAGTGTATATACTATACATTAGCTTACATGCACCTCAGTCTGTTATACTGAGACTGAGGTGAGCCACTCTATTTACCAACTACTACACACTTACTTACTTTACCTAGATCATGTGATCTAGGTCTAGATTTCTACAAACATTTCCAAACCTCAGTGTCGACCAACTATGAATGGAGCCTGAGGAAGGGAGGCTGTTCTACCCATCACTTTCTCATGATCAACTTGATCCTCAGCACCCTCTGTACCTGGCAGCACGTTTTCATGACGTGCTCAAAGTTCCTGACCAAACAGCACTTCTCAATAGGTGAGACTCTATGAGCTTATTGAAAGTCAAGTATCCCAAAGTTAAGCACTTCAGTCACCCATTTTTGGGTACCTATGAGGTTATCCAATTCTTTGAATTAGGGAACATTAGTGGTACCCCATTCCAGAGTGGTATGACCCTCATACCAATTTATAGGGTGAACTTGATCTTTTGAAAATTCACTTGAAAATTAGCTTGATTGGGCTTTATCCCAGGGTTTGGCCATTTTCACTGTGGATAATCCATCACAAGCCACTTAAAAGTGTATATCTTGCCAGGCCATTTATATTCATGACAAATAAATTAATGTTGTATCCATCACAATGGCATGGCCTCTGAAGGAAAACAAGAATTTTGCAAGACTTTATCTATTGCAAAGGCATGAACTTTAGCCAAATTACTACCCAAGGCAAGGATGCCTTCTTCAGATAGAATATGTTCAAAATTTGCCATTTATGAAAAAGTACGGGGTCATTCCATAGGAATGGGATCATCAAAAAACTTGGATTTGGAATCTCCTCATATCTGCCACTCAGCAGAGCTGGCATTGTGGGGAATTTTGATTTGAACATTTGAACACAAGCAGGCCAAAACTTCTAATTACAAGCTTCAAGGTATCATTATTAAATATAGCTATTCTAATTTAAATCAAAATTCTGTCTTTCATACAATTAATCAGGGATGGTGAAGAAGTCCATGACATTGACAGCAATATGAACAAATGCTATGGACATTCACCTATGAGGGAGCAACTTGGGAGATGCTCTTGGAACAGATTGCCAATTCCTTATCCCACATGTCTTCAGAATCATACAATAGAGATGGAATCATACCATGAGTATGGAACCATACCATACCATGGGCATGGAATCATACCATGGGGTGGAATCATACCATACCATGGGCATGGAATCATACCATGGGGGTGGAATCATACCATACCATGGAAATGGAATCATACCATGGGGGTGGAATCATACCATACCATGGAAATGGAATCATACCATGAGCATGGAATCATACCATACCATGGG